TGGCTACCATCATTTGTCCAGCATGGAAGTGCTTCTTGTCCAACAAAGTAGCCAGATTCAGACCCATAGGCATAGAATGGCTCTGAAGGAATCAGCTGTTTCTCTCTGTGCTTCGTGAAACTTTGGATCCAAATGGTAAAGGACGGTTATTCCCAATTTAACTATGGCATCCTTTAGAAGTGTGACCAATACCACTTAACAAGGGAGCAGGGTTCTAAAAATAATTTACCAGGGCCACAGGTCACCATAGCTTCAATCTCTGGTGTGAAAATCAACCACCAGTACCTGCAATTTCTACCTGAGTTCTTGTCAAATTTTTGACCTTACTTGGAGTAATTTTACACTTCTCTGGCATAGAATTCTTCACCTACCACACAACATATCAGTAGCGATAGTGAGGTATAACTCACTCAACAATGCCCTTTTATTTCTTTAATCTGGTGGCACAGATTTAAATTAGGGACTAAATTCAGGTGCTGCTTAGAATCCCTATAAGACACCAAATGTCAAGTATCTATTAAAAATAGGTATCTTTCTGCAGCTATATCACATTCAACATGGATTTCATTTTCTAAACATTGCAGCATCTCCCAGGGGTGAGCTGAAGAGAAATGTCACTTCCATTTTCCCCATCTTTACCTAGATAGGGATTGCATTTCCCAAATAACAGGCAAGATGCAGCTGATTAGGAAGGAGATATCTTCAGGAGCAACCTCCTGCAGCGCCCGTGCCACAACTGCTTTGGGAGCCCAATGCATGAGTATTTTGCTTAGTTCCAAGTCATTTACTAGGGAATCCTCTTCCCAGCCCTTTAGAAAAAAGATTGACCTAACCAATTGAACAACAGGGGGATTGGGATGGTGATGGGGAATAAGGGAATCCCTCTGACTTACCCGATCTTCTTCTGTTGTTACAGAGGCTGAAATGACATTTTCCCCTATCCCTGCCCTGTTCCTGCTCTTTGTTATAGTTAAAAATATTGAAGTGATAAAAATAGTAGTAAAAGTATCTGCTCTGCAGCACAACCTGAAGCAACATCAGAGCAACTGGGAATGAAACAATTTGTTCCCAAAGGGGGAACTTGAAGACTAACAATTGCTTTGAAATGGGGGAACAGTATAACCGTGATGCTCAGGGTTTGTTTAGGTCGGGTCAAGGGGGAACCTAATGCCAACCACTGCAAACCTCTCTCTCCCACCTGGAACTGATGAACATTCCTGGCTGGAGGGACACACACTCCTACAACTCAAAAGGAAAGGAGTTGATAGAAAAGATCACAGGACTGACCCCAAAGAAGGTGAGCTGCAAAAGGGAGAACCAGGCAACTCATCTGGTGGAGCTGAGAGACCACGGTGAATATGGTGCAAAAATCACTATGTGGGAATTAGCAAATGTGATTTAAAAAAAAAAAATTCTTTGGCCAGCCCTAGTCAAAGGATTTATTATAGTTCTTGCCCATGTGTATTCTCTGATGTGAGATAAGGTGTGAGCTCCGACTGAAGCTTTTCCCGCACTCAGAGCATGTGTAGGGCCTCTCTCCTGTGTGGATTCTCCTATGTGTGCTCAGGGTAGAGCTGTGATTGAAGCTTTTCGTGCACTCAGAGCATGTGTAGGGCCTCTCGCCTGTGTGGATTCTCCTATGTGAGATAAGGTCTGAGCTCCGCCTGAAGCTTTTCCCGCACTCAGAGCATCCATATGGTTTCTCACCTGTGTGGATTCTCCTGTGTGTGATAAGGTCTGAGCTCAGTCTGAAGCTTTTCCCGCACTCAGAGCATGTGTGGGGCACTTCTCCTGTGTGGATTCGCTGATGTGAGATGAGGGTTGAACTATCAATGAAGCGTTTCCCACACTCAGAGCATCCATAAGGTTTCTCACCCGTGTAGATTGTGTGATGTGTGATAAGGGCAGCGTTCCCATTGAATCTTTTCCCGTACTCAGAGCACGTGTAGCGTGTCTCTTCCAAGTTGATTCTGTCATGTATTATAAGGTCTGAGTGGCTACTGAAGTTTTCCTCTGGCCTCTGCTGAGTCTCACAGGCTTTTGCTTTTTCTCGGAGTGCACAACTCCCGGAAACGTTCCCTTTGGATCTTCCTGATAACGTCCCATGTGGTTCTACTTGCTCAGCATCTTCCTGCTGGGGTTTCTCCTCATTCTCACTCACCATCCCATCACCTGAATGGGAAACAAAAAGATTCCAGACATAGGTCACTCCCTGCACCAGAAAGAAAGGAAATCTCAGAGAGAGGAATGGAAAAAGGGATGAACAACCGAAAATATGTGTGGGAGAGATCAAACGTATCAGGAGCTGATTTTCCCCAAAGCCTTCCACAGAGGAGAGAGGAAGGGATCAGTTTTGGTCCGCATCTCACCAGAACACTCAGGGAAAAGCGAGACTGGGGAGGGATCTGCTGCCAGTTGTCAGTCAGAATAGGAGGGAAGCCATGAGTGACATCTGCCATAATGATTCCACATCTGCAGGGAACAATCCTAAACTTGGAGAGCTCACAGGGTCTTTGTAGGGCATCCCAAATGTTTCGTGCATTCCCAAACAGTTGTTGAGTTGGTTTAACCAATTTCTCACCTCTCAGGAGCACTTCTTTCTCAGAGCCCTGGAGGTCTGGGATCCATGGCTCTTCCCCTCGTTCCAGCTGCGAGATCACATCAGGTTTGGAAACTGGAAACCCTACTCCAGGCAAAGAAAACAAGGGAGGTCAGTGGAATTTGTGGGATACTTGGCACACAGAATATTCCATGGTTTTAACCCCAGCTCATTTTTAAGCAGTAACATCCCAAGGCCAGCTTCCTTAGCTCAAAGTGGCAGGAGAGTTATTATTATAATAAATCATATGCATTACCTTAATGGCTCAGGACCAACTAACAGGGGGTCCCCATTGTGCTAGGCAAAGTACAAACCCAGAATAGTAGATGGCCCATGCCCTGAAGAATTTACAATCTAAATAGACAAGACGGACACAGAATGTGGCAAGGGGTAGAACCCACTGTTAGAATAGAGATATTCAGGCCTGCCTGTAAAGCCTGTACTTTAAGAACTTAGGTGTATTTTTATCACTTAGCTAGTTACAGGGGTATAAAAATAAAGAATCAAAATCACAGTCCACCTGTGTCTGGGCCTTCGCTCACCAGGATAGTCTGAGGCCTTGTTCTTAGGCTAAGGCCTTTGGCTAAGCAGCAGGGGCAGCCATAAGCTGGGAAGCGTAGGGTCACATCCTCACCTCCCAAACCAATCACACTGAAATAAGGTGGTATTGGCCTGTTAGGAAGACAATCCTGTCCCGATAGCGCCCATCACCACCAGATAAAGAAACAGACCTTAAGATGGTTAAAGAAAACTTAGTTTGATAGCATCCTGTCTGGCAAGAAATCACTTATCAATGGTTGTGAAACCCTCATTTCCGTATTATTTTATCTTTATGGCCACCACTTTTACATTGTCAATCAGTCTGGTTCTCTAATTGTTTCTGTCTGCTGTATAATTAATTTTGCTAGGTGTAAGTTAATTAGGGTACTGGGATATAATTGGTTAGAAAATTATGTTACAATATGTTAGAATTGGTTAGTTAAATTTCAGTAAAATGACTGGTTAAAGTATAGTTGAGAATATTATTATATAAACAGGGTCAAACAGGAGGGGGAAGGGAAATTGGAATCATGTTTGTTAAGGGGGGAAAGGGAACAGGGAATGGGGACACAGGCAAGTCTCTGTGGCATCAGAGCTGGGCAGGGGGACACGAGGAAAACGCTCTGCGGCATCAGAGCTGGGCAGGGAACACTGGGGAACAGACTCTATCGCGTATAGAGAGAAGCCTGACTGGTGTGAAGGGCTTCGGAATATGCCTGCTTGGAAACTAACCCCAATAAACATTGCATTATCTGCACTTCGGACTTCTGGTCTTTTGCTGCTTGCTGTCTGCGTGACAAGAACCAGGGAAGTTGGAGGGTGAAGGGAAAGCCCTGTAACAAAACTGACATGACCTGATAAGCAACAGGTAAGGCTTTAAGGAAGGTTTTAATACACTTTGGAACTGGTCAGGGATTCCCACGAGGACTGAAGAGGGGGCGATGGTAAATACACATTTAGATCCTTTTCTTGTTTTATATCTTTTCCACAGAAGGCGCACTGGCACATTGTCATGGATCCATAGGATCTGTGCAATGCCCTGGCTTATAAGCAGTCCTTGGGAGGTGCCCCTGGAGTGCATTAGACCTCCAAGGGGTCCCATTCTTCCACAAGGATAGGCCATGTAGC